TCCAAATTCTTGGGCTGCTTTCCTTCTGCAGAACAAACCGACTAAAATTCAAAGGAAGTAAGGCAAGTGCAAGGTTGGTTGAGTTGTAAAGAGACCTAGTGATTCAAAGGAGATATTTCACGAAGCAGAAATGRATTTTGGCAGATGCATTGTGTTGAAAATGGCATCAGAGCTTTTTGTGGAGGCCCAGGATTTCTAGCGGCATGCTTGATCTCGGGCTGCAGTGTTCGCCGATGCTGCTGCTGCTTRCACCTGCTGAATAGAAGGTAGGGCTCCTTTTAAACTAAAAGCTATATGTCATTATGTATTCTGTGTTTTGGAGGTGCTCCTTCTATCCAGACACACTGCAGACTTGCCTAAAGGAAGCCAAGTGATCTGTCTGCCTTACAGGATAATAAAATATATACACCTTGCCAAGCTGGATTCATGTCTCAGTCCCCTGCTGTGACTGTTAGTCCTACATGCTTATCAGCTGTAATTTAGGAACACAAAGGGAAAAACAAAAAAAAACATCTTGATTTTTTTATATATGCATATAAATAATTTAAAAATACTCATTTGCAAGGCATGACAAACAACTTAACAACAAAGCAGGACCATAAAAGGTTTTAAACTTCCATGAAACAACTGAATAAATAGGGAATTTAAAATGACTAACACACATCACTATTTTCCTTTAATCAGTTTKCTTCCTGACCTAAATCATAACATGCTTTTGAGTTTGTTTCAGTATCAAAAACAAATTATTGGTGTTTTTAGGCATTAATATGCAAATGAGTGTTCTGGATCCACAATTAGTCATGCCATGCCTGTCAACAGATCTAAGCATATATCAAGAACAATAATGAATTCACTTTTGGTCGCAAAAAACTCCCTGTCTTGTTTGTTTCTTTTTCGATTTATTTTCTGTTTGTTCCTGAGGAAAATGTGATTTTATGCTATCCATGTTAAACAACTTCAACCAACTGGCGACTCTTTTTTATAAAAAATGACTCATCCTCTGTCTTGCTTTTAGAGTTCACGTTTGATAAGTGATTGACCCTTTTAAAAAAAACTACCACTTACACTTGCCACATCTAAAAATGAAGTATGATACCCCAGAGACCAGGCTTTCAGAGGGGTGCAGCTCGCAGCATTTCTTTTTTTAATCATACTAATTACTTGCGTGTGTGAGGGATGCGGTCTCAGAAGCACTAGACTTATCAGCATCATCAAATATCTTGACTGAACATGAGTGCAGAGTTTCATTATTAAATCTATTTTTTTTCTGCGTAAACAATTCCAAAAAAGAATAATGGTGACTTTTTTTTTCCCCCAATACATGCTAACAAGCATCAGCATGCTACGGTTTCCGATACGGAAAGTCTTCCAGTTTGGATACCTGTCAACCAGTGACTCATCTGCCATGCCATCATGGGTTCATGATGAAATGCCTTCCAGCGTGTTTTTGAAGAAACACCGCCGAGCTATTTTAAAATGCACAGRTGACCTTCAAGGAAATGACGCCGACGATATCAGTATCTATAGTTCCCCCAAGCTCCATGCAGATCCACACGTCATGAAACCGTTTATAGGTGCTGATGAATTGCTTTACAGTTATATGATATGGAGAACACAGAAGTGACAATGAAAAACAAAACCAAAAAATAAAAAAAAACATACAGCATTTGCAAAATAACCTCAAAGAAAGGAAGGATTAGCATCAATTTTACATCTGTAAAGCAGAAATAGACATTCAACCTTTTTTGTGTGTGAAAAAGAACAACACATATCCTCCCATGTAAACAGCAAAAGAGCAAAACATGAATAGTCAAGAATCTGCGGCTAACACTACCTGGACAAGGGGCAGTGTTATTGCAAACCCTTGATTCTCTTAAAGGGCCGCTGCAGTGTGTTCCGTACGGTGAGACACATGTTCTTGTTCGCACCTGCGACCCTTGACCGCATGTTACAGAGCATGAGCTCCACTGGGACCACTCCTCTGCACCTGATTCACCTGTGTGGGAGAAGGGTGACACTAGTTAAATGCAGCAATAGGGTCCTGCAGCATGGCTCATGGGGTGGGGTTGGGGGGTTGGGGGGTGGGAGTTTGGCAGGGTTCAGTAAAGTCGGGAGGGGCCAACATGAGTCACGTTGAGGGGTTAGGTGGGGACCTAACGCTCTYCAAGACCACTATTTACAGTCTACGCTACCTCAGTGTGATCTTTGATGAATACTCCTTTTCAGCTGCTCCCGTCATCTGACTGAATTTTGAGTGCAGCTCAGGCGTTTTTTTTTTTTTTTTTTTTTTTTTTGCGACTGCAATCACCGCAAGTAGTCGTGTTAATGATGTTTACGGTGTTGGAGAGATGTGTAAATTAATCAGCCTTTCCACAACAAACTCAAATGTGTATTTATGCAAAGATCACAGAGAATGCATAACAGTAGACATCCAGGTTACATCTAGCTGTTTCACTTCATTTTAAAGAAAAAAAAAGGTGTGCATGCTGTGAAACCAAAAAGTGGGAGAATCAGTCTAAAGAAAATAKTTTAGGAGCATGGTGACATGCAAAAAATAAATAAATAAAATAGACATCTGCAAAAAAATAAAATGGAATTGGAGTGTTAGTTCAGAAAGTGGTCTTAGATGTGGATTTGTTTGCTCTGCAATGATCTAGCTCTCTTAACAATAAAGAAAATACTTAATTTGCTTTCATTTTTGCAACCGTATCATGACCATATAACTTACGTGGATTGGAGTGAAGTGAAAAAAAAGTTCCTTTCTGTTAAGAAATCACAGCCTTTTTCGTGTGCGTTTAGCTTACATCAGACTGTGTTCAGTGCGATCAAAATTTGATGGAGAGTTCTAGGAAACGAACATTACTAGTCGTGCTTAAACCTTAGAATGAGGTCAAAATCTGTTTCCATGGATAAGGCTTTTGAGTCTGCATAACTTTGCAGGTACTTAACTCCGCATGCAGACTCTGTCCGAGGCGACTGTGTATAATTTGTCACCCTGGTAGCAAAGTAAAGAATGTATTTTTGAGTTAAATATAGGTTTAATTGCAGGAWACAGCATCGAGCCTCTTAGCTTTCATGATTCTAAAAAATAGGAAAAAAAACATGAAATGCTAAGTGATGCTGAGGTATTGGAGGGATAACCTAAATYGAAAATGAATGTGTTATTTGAAGAGAAATAAGCGAACAATCAAATTCTTCCATAAGAGTAGTCACCAAATAATTGATGTTTGATTGTGTTAAACCCCCAGGTGAAGTATTCATTTTCTTTGAGGCTTAATGTATTAAAYAAATAATTTAACACAGAGATGAATAGTCTTTCCAGTTGCAGCTCTGAATACATTTATGTCATTGGTAGCCATCGAATCGGATCAGGAATTTCAAACAAAAAAAATATGCTTCAAAGTTGTTTCACAGGACACAAATTTAGGCAAATCGGATCTTAACCCTGCCTTTAATTTTGGAGATCATAAAAATCGACTGAAAGGTGGATCAATTTGGTCAATGAGGCGTTATAGGGAGGGTAAATCGTCTGGGAATGAGAAACAGAAAGGCACGGCAAGGCGACTTAACAAGGAAACAACATACCTACGGTGAAAGGAGAGAAGAGATGTTAATGAGTAGATATTAGTACAGGCATGTGTGTTCCAAATGTATGTTTCATTAAAAAAAAAGAAATAAAACGTAATGAATGAGAGAAAAGAAATTCAAACAATGACATCAATAAAAACGAAACAACACATGAAAAACAAAAGAAAACATTTCCCACAAATCAAAAATAATAATAATAATAATAAAATACATCTCAGCAGCTAGATGCACCCACCCAATGAGAAAATAAAATCTTACACAAATTAAGCTAAATAATAAAATAACATTAAAAAATAGTTTCAATTTGCGTTGACTTCTTTTCTTTCTAATTAGATTAGCATTTAAGAGTCATATGAATTTAGATCTTTTTAAGTCTCTTATGATTTATTGGATGCTACACTTTGTTTTACTTCTCAGGGCAGCATCTATGGGTTCACTCTTTAAAAGTGTTTTAATTTGGGCTGAAGGGGGTGGGTTTTTCACCGAATGACATTTCATTTATCACGTCTTGGAGAAAATCATTAATTACATCAGTCCCTTAGTTCTGAACTGCTGTTTAATTAATGTTCTCTGGAAAAAAAAATGCTGCATGAGTAATCCACTTGTCACCTCACTATAACACAATAAAACAAACAGACGCACAAAACCCAATTGGGCTCGAAGTTCAAAGTAAATAGTCATGGAGAAATGAAAAATTTTGTCGTCCTTAATTTATATGTGGCATTTGGGAATGGGTAGGAAAAATAANACTCTACACTAAAACAGTGAAATAGCTACTTAATTTGAATTAATTACCAGATTGTTTAATTTGCACTTGTTCGGTTCACCACTACAGTTAGACGTATATGTTTCTTAAGATAATAATTATATTATTTAAAACAATATTTTAAAAAATCTGGAGAGTTTATTCAGTTTGTTGTGCATTACAGCATACAAATCATCACATTTTGTGGATTTGTCGCCCTCTTGTGGCCATACTACTTAAACTAAACACAATTCCCCTAAATGTGAAATTAGTTTACTTTTATTAACATTTTCATTTAATTAGATTACTTTCCCAGAATAAAACTGCCAATCATTATAGTGTTTGATAGAAAAACACGCTGCATTCTCACGAGAGAGGTTTTAAAGGACAAAAATAGAAACGAACACAATTTAAACAATACCCAGTCTGTCCTCTAGGAGCGCTGTTACAAACRATCACACTTTTCTAGAAGAACTGTTTTGGGAACCGGAAGTTAAATWGTTGTTCATCCGTCAGTGTGGCTGTACTCGTAGAAGCAACGATGGCCACCACTGCTGCAAAACAAACGACTAAAATAGTCTCAAAGACAAATGCGGGAGGCGCCGGGGCGGCGGCGGCCGGTGGTGGCCCCCCGATAATGCCCCTCGCCTCCCCGCTGATGGGGAAAAAGAAGAAGCCGTTTCTGGGCATGCCCGCTCCGCTGGGTTACGTTCCTGGTCTCGGCAGAGGGTAAGCTAGCTTAATGCTAAATAGCTGCTACGTTTGTTGACGTTTTAAACTAACGACGTCTTGCTCTCAGTTTCAACTTCAATAATAATAATTATAATAATAATAATAAAAACATTTCGGTCCTTGCTTTCTGCTTTCACGACGAGCATCTAAACACAATACTTTTGTTGACGTTTTAAACTAACGACGTCTTGCTCTCAGTTTCAACTTGAATAATAATAATAATAATAATAATAATAAAAACATTTCCACTTGAGAAGTGCAGTACAAGAGAGAGAGAGAGCATGCATGATGAAATTAAGTTTAGTTAACAAAATAAAGAAACATAGCTATTGCATTACCAGTTTGTGCCATAAATTTAGCGGATTCAGCTTGCTCCTGCAGGGCCTTTGTGTCATGAACTGATCTTGGCCGCTGACTTTTTACTGTATGCTCTCCGATCATTCCATATTCTATGGGACAAAATAGAGGTTCATATGAAAGCTAGGCTTAAACATAATCTTAGAACAAAAGCTTATTACATTCGGTTTTTCAGGATGTTTGAAGCAACTGAAGGACATGGCTAGAAACAAAGACCACACAAGATTTTCTTTTCTTTTCTTTCTCCTTGCAAATACGGCATACTTTTGTTTTTTTTTTCTCTCTAAGGCATAGAACAATGCAACAATCTCTTTTTTTTTGTTTTAAAAAGGGTGAGTTGGAAGTATTAATTGAGCTTGAAAGCACAGCGTAGACACACAGCAGACATGCAAGAAGTTTCACATTTTGTTTGTAAAACTTGAGCATCTTACCCGACAGCCCCAACCCTCCCGGCCCACCCTTCTGCACACCCCTAAAAAAATTAAAGAAAGAAAAGGAAATGAAAGTAAAAAAAAAAAATGTGTAAGCCATCAGAAAGCCACAGAGGAGGGGGGTCATGGACATAACATGCGATTGATCCACGGCTTCCTCGGGAAAGTTGACGTCTTTGTGTCACTTGGTTTTTTTCTTTGGTTGACATGCCCAAACGTTCTTGTCAGCATTTATGCAAATGTATTCTGAGCTGTYTACATGACAATGCATGTCCTCTTTGTTTCCCACAAAGGAACAAAGACACGATGAGCACAAAGCTCCAACACCGACAAAAGTAATGCTAGATAATGGCATTTGGACTTTGCACCAGCTGCTCGAAGTAAATCTCATCTAATCATTGCTTAAATAGCTCATGTATTTTTTTTAAATTAAATTTCAAACTAGCATTACTTCTGACAGTGTGAGCCCTATGGAGATGATTTTATCGTCTGCAAATTGGTGATACAGGTGATGCATTAACAACAGATCCACACGTAACTTATGTTAGTACATTAGACAAAACAATGCATCAGCCATTGATGGGGATCTTTGAAACATCACTTGTAACTGATTTTGCAACTCGAGMGACCTCTGTAAAAATAAATGCTGAAAGTTCATAAAGACTGACCTTCAAAGAAGCATCTACGGGGGAATTTGTCATCTCACCATGATGCATAGAAAGTTGGGGTATTTATGACTAACTGTGCAGTCYCGACAAAAATAAATATATAGAAAGGACAGGATTCTGACGAGATYGGTGCTATCAAGGCCGTACCAACAAACGTGTTAAAGTAGGGAAGGAAAGCCGTTGAGTGTTCAGTTAAACACAGCACCGAGAAAGTGTTTGTGTTTGCATATAAAATGAGAATATTAAGGGGTTATAGTGAAAGGAGGGGGGGAGAAGCCGCCAGGTAGAAACAAACATCACAGCCTTTTTTGATGCTGATAGGCATCTTCAGGACCATGAATCTATGAATGCACAAAGTGAGCTTCAAACGCATGTTCAAAGGTGTTTCGGTCTGATTTGATTCTGACCACATCTGTTTTGCCGAWATTAAGCTGAAAGCACAGCGTGAACTCTGTCCGGGTTAAAAAAAAAAGACAAACAGCAGGCAGTTTAACTAATACTCAGTCCTGTCAGCTGAGTTAGCTGCTGCAGAAACGTGGACATGAAATCTCCTGTGGTGGGTTTCATGCTGTACTCAATGGTGCCTTCAATCATGAACGTATTTTGTTTGTTTATTCAGTTACAAAAAAAGAAAGGAAAAAAAAACACTTTATTGGATTACCCTGATTGTTTCCACCTTTGATAAACYTCTTAAAACGATCAGTGTGCACAGTTACAAGTTTCAACAAATTAAAAGGCKAATGAAGCTGAACGTGTAACCTTATGAATTTGCCCGTTCCAATGCAAAAATGAAGTATCGGTGCCATGATTTGCATCTTCCCTGTGTGAAAACTCACCAGAAATAATCTCATATACACCWGAAGGTATCAACGTTTGGTTTTGACGACACATCGTTTCAGCAAACTAACGTACGACATCAGAAACTCACGTTGCATTAATCTCAGGAGGTACAAAAGTGACCGAAATGTCTTTGGAAGTTATGAAAAACTAAATACAATCCTAAGTTCAAATAAACACTTTAAAATGGTACCTGCATTTARCTTAGGGTCCTGGATTATTGTTGAAAAGGTGTAAATTTGAAATAAGACTGTTATAATTAGTTCAATGACAAAGCGTTTCAGAGAGACTTTGATTGACAGTATGTCTACCAATGTGATGAAAACTATTTTTGAAGGCTACGTCTCTTTGTGTAAATAAGTATGTGTCTAAATTTAGCCTCTGATGAGAGGCAACAATGACAGATTTTATTTTTTTTTTCTCGATAAAAAATAAGCACAAGTTAAATTGTTAAAATTTGGAGTATGGATGGACCTGTAACACATTTGGTTATGATTCTAAATTGTCAAATTATGTAAATTATTTTAATTATGTTTTCTATTACTATTGATACCAACAATGTTGAGGACATACCAGATGTAGAGCCTAGGGCTGTTTTTCTTCTTTTTTTTCTAGTATCCTTAAAAGGTAAACAGTAATAACGGCTTCAGAAAATTATTGATTTTTCTTTTACTAATTATTTGCCTCTGCACAACATTGATTACCTCACTCAATTAAGCTGTGACATTACAGTTTGTCTCACAGAATTTAATGCATCTCAAGCAGCTCATGATGAACAGGACAACAAAAAGTGCTGCAACTTGTCATTAACCGCGGAGTCGGGAAAATATTTGAATGGCAAACTGTTATAACGGAGCACGCTCCGTCTGAATCAGTGTTTGAAAGATCTGAGTAATTATGTCTGTATCAGTTTGGACACGGMGCTATGAGGAAACGCTCACTCTGTTGGTACACAAATTAGAACAGGCTAATTCAGAGGAGCGCGATACGTCTCACTTTTAATTCCGCAGGACTGACGCAGATTATCGTTCTGCGTTGTGTTTCAGGAAGCCCAAATGAAAAGGAACAGGACGTCAAAAGGAAAAAAACAAACAAACACCAAAAAGGCTCTGCAAAGCATGACTTAATTGAACTTCAAGGATTGCATCTAGGCCTGTGGCCATAAAATGGTAAACATGAGAGACAAAGCAGAGTTTTTAATAACTGCAGAGGAAAGCTGTTGTCGTTTGTCAAAGCGAGCRGGAACAACAGAGCTTTCTGAGGCAGAAAAGGTGATGCATTCCGTGTGTCATTACTCAGAAATACTTCTTCAGGTTTTGGCCGGTATTCAAAACTTTTAAACGGCGTGCTCGAGAGAAAATTAGGTTTCAGATTTATGAAGTGTCTGCCATTCAGACAAAACTAAAAGAGAATACTTATTATTGATATCCATCCGCCATAATGCCTCAGCAACAAAGGTGAAACGATAGCYTGGAGAAAAATCCATCACTAAAAGCTCTCATTGCTTTTGTGAAGTAAAAAAACGTGATTTATTACCTTTGTTTTGCTCGCACGCGCTCTAACAGCCGTGCATCCTCAGAAAGGGAYGTGTTTTTTTTATGGCGACGTATTAGAATTGACTTCTATCAGCTTCAGCAGTGTCCATTTATTTTCACCTGATTGAGCAAACAGGGGAATAGTAGGGTTGCTTTGCAGAAATACACATTTATGAAGGATTTGTGGAATACATTTGCCTAAAACACCCAGCTTATTTGCTTTGGAAGCAGCTATCTTTATTTCCACTAGAGTAATTTTTTTTAGCTTTAAAATCCAAGACAAATGATGTGTACAAAACTCAGTTATTTTAAATACAGATTTTACAAATGGATGAAAAAAAGAATAACTGGGGAAATATTTGGTGTTTTAAAAAAAGTATTTTTATGGTCAGATTGTGTATCTTGCGGAATGTGCACATCCTGAGATTGAATCGCAGCCAACGTACAGTATGTGGAGAAAAATGTAGACCATTTTTATCACAAAAAAACTCACCAACCATCTGTTTTTATCGAGGAAATGATCCACAGACAGGCATGATTATCAGTTGTCTTATAAACCACTTCCAGGCTAAAATTTCACCCTGCTAATACAACAAACAGATGGCAGTCATTGACACGACGTCATTTCTTTATGCTGCTTTAGCAAAAAAACAAAAAAATTAAATTAATAATTATGTCCAAGTTTATTAGGAGCACCGAAAAAGTAGTATTCTAAATTATGTTGTATTTATTCATTTTTATTTTAAGTAAAGCAATGTAAGTATTGAAAGTGTTTTGTTTTTTTAGCTCATACAACTCTGCCAGGTTCAGTGAGATTTTCTGAGTGACGAACAATTAAAATTAAATACATCCAGACCTCCATGGAGGACTAATTATTCTTTTAGCAGTTCTGATGAAACAAGATTTTTTTTCTTTCTAAGACATCAACAACATGATTTCTCGAAGGTTTTGAGCTCTGATTTGTAACCCGAACATCGTTTTTCCGATGATTATTAACAGCTAGCACWTTTACGCAAATATTTGGTCAACAAAAACATTTCCTCACAACAAAATCTCGAGTTATTTCATCTCTCTTTGGGATTAATAAAGAGCTATAAGAATTATTACTAGAAAAAATTACAACCATTCATCAAATATATTGTTTCATGATTTGAAATTATTAAAATTTTATGATTTGGTCATTTATAATATTTTACTCTTAATGTACAGAACTCATAAAGGTGTCTTACCTTTCAACATTCAAGTGAATTTTGTTAAAAGAGAGAGCTGTTATTATCTTAAGGGAATAGAAATGTTTGTGAAACCCTGGTTTCGTATGAGCTTGAAGGAGTGATCCACTTTAATCCAGGGAATCAGACTGTGGAACAGCATGGAAGTTAAAAATGTCAGATCCTTGAATATATTGAAGAGAATGATAAAAACTAGTACTCTGAAGAAATATGGAGAATTATAAGTGAATTCATGCTAATTGTTTGTTTTTTGAGTTGATGTCTTTTTTKTTTTTAATTCATTTTTAAATGCTTGAAGTTGTTTTGATATTTTGTTGTATTTTAACTTTTCTTTTGAACATAATTTGGGTCTAAAAAAGGGGGCAGATATTATATGATTTATTCTTCTTCTG